GGTACCCGCCGGCGGGAGTCGAACACCGGTGCATCCCTAGATACGAATGCACCGGACGTCTTATCCTTTAGGCCACGACGACTCCATACCATGTTAGACCAGTCTCAAATATTACTGGTGGTAGGACCTCTTGTGAGTCCGCGCTAGTGGGTACCACCACCCTGCCTATTTCTGCCGTGAAGCAGTAATGCGTTTCGGTTTGAAGGGTGGGGCAGCCGTTGTAACTATACTTGAGACCTTAGAACTTATATCTCAAGGTGGGTGGGGCATTTACGTCGTGGATGTCTATGGGTTCCAGTAACCACTTAACACCAGGTGGGCTGTGAGCTCGTCCACCTATCTATGCAATAAAAAAAAATAAAAAAAAATCCTTTATTTGCGGGGTGGTATCCGATTGACGTATTGAATGTACGTCCTACTTGTACAAAACGCCCTAGACAGACGAAGATTAGTTTGATGTGGATCTGTTTGGTAACGACCTTGGCTACAATCCAGGCTTAATAATGACATATTCGAGCCTTCGACTACGAAAGATTAATGTTTTCTTGAATTTCTGTTACTCAATACTATGAAACTGTATAAGAATTTTGTTCTTAATATTTATCGTGACCCAGATATTATTGCCTTTCAATATTGTATCCAATAAGATACATATTTATTTATTAGTTTGTTTAGAGCTAATAAAAAAAAATGACATACAGGAATTAATAGTAATAATATCAAAAACAATACGTATAAACAATATCAAGAATAAACGTATAAACGATATTGCATTAAACTTTTCATTTTCCAGTCAATAAATTAATCGACACTGAATAATAATATCTCAGAGGATACGATCGTCACAAATGAATTATGCATGCCTCAATGGTGCAAGAGGGTAGAGGTTGGAATAAGTAAATTAGGTTACATCATACATAATAATTGGTTAGATGAATTTATGTTATGAAATGACCTTTAAAAATGATCACTGTGAAAATGAGAGAAAATCTATCAAGTTTTGTAATTCTTTCTGTTTATTATTATATCCATGGACACTGAGTCCTGGCTCTGACTAAAATAGTCAATAGTGTTTTGTTGAGGTCCTGAAATTGCCGTGTCCATTAACGTAATTCCTTACGATCAAATGCTCCTATGGTGTCAATCACATGGTTGTGAGGTGTTAAAAGGAGAAAAGTTTAGATAATTTCGTTGTCCAATATATCAACGATGTCGTAGTCTAAACATTTTTAAGCAACAGATCACAACACAGGATGCAGAGCGCAGTTCACTTTTACAAAATGCCCATATAAATACCCTAATAAACAATACCGGGACAGTTTAATAGCTAGTGTAAAACTAACCTATTGGAAAACATGCAATCGAAAAAAGATATTTTAAAAAAATGCCGATATACTAACAAATGACTTATACTTAGTCTGGCCATAAATACTGTTACAATTAAAAATAAAAATAAATCCATTGCAAATAACATTTATTACTTTTACAGTGTGTTAGTTTAATACATAAATATAAAACAATTTAAAGTATGAAAAGCTTATTCGCAGTGATCTCCATTGGCTGCAATACAGTCCTTTAAACGTTGAGGCCAGTTATCAATTGAAGCACGCACTCTTTCCATGGGAAAATGTTTCACTGCCAATCGTACGGATTGTTTTAGGGACGCCAAATTATCATGGCGTTTAGAGCAAGCCGTACTCTCTAAAACTGACCATAAATCATAATCCAGCGGATTAAGATCGGGACTAGACGACGGCCAGTCTTCAGCTCTGATGAAGTCCGTAACGTTCGTTTCCAACCAAGACTGCGTAGACCGAGCTTTATGACCTGGCGCCGAGTCTTGCTGGAAGGACCGTTCTTGATTATTGAACATGGTGTTGTTAAGGGGCTTCACTACCTTCTCAAGAATGGTATCTTGATACACTTGTGCCGATGTTTTGATACCTTTTTCACAAAAGTATGGCTCAGTCACTCCTTCATAGCTAATACCCCACCAAACCATCACTGAAGTCGGATAGTGCCCACGTTGCACTCTGTCGACTAATTGGGAAGCTTTCTTAGAGCTTTGAGCATAAATACGGTCATTTTTTTTGTTAAAATGTTGCTCAATTGTAAAAATTTTCTCATCCGTAAACAAAATTTTTCTATGACCTCCCTTTGCGTACCGCTTCAGTAGTTGTTTCGATTTTACCACCCTATTCTCTTTTAAATTATCATTTAAGAAATGACCAGTACGTCTATTATAGGGCAAGTCCTAAGTCATCTTTTAAAATACGCGACATGGTTCTAGGTGCTATCTTCATGTCCCGAGATAAAATCTTTTGCTTTCGGACAGGATTTCTTGGAATTCTTTCCCTTACTGCTTTGACTACCTTTTTCGTACGAACACTACGTGGACGTCCAGATCTTTTTTCTGTCACAAATAGAGGATGTCTCATTGCACCTATTAATAGCCCGGTACACAAACATTTTAAAATTGCATTTGGCTCCATACCTACTTTGTGTAATGCAATCACAGCGATTCGGTTCTCTTTATCACCACACTCCATTTTAATATCGCAAAATATTGTACAATGTATTGGCGCCAAAATGAGAAAACCTAATGAGCAATCTTATAAAAATGACAGATTCCAAATTCAAATGTAGTATTTTTACTTGTAACAGTATTTATGGCCAGTTTAAGTATTAATGATATTATTAAACAAGTAGTAGAAACAATTTTCATTTTAAAACTTGGAAAAAATGCATACTAGATCAATTGGGATTACTTTTTTTATAGCCTCTTTATATGAATGAAGATGCAATAAAACCGTATCTACCAAATATATATTTACATGTTATAATTAATAAAAATATCACGGTGAACATTTGTTAGAAAATGTTGGTCGAACAATCGTAACCTATAGTATTGAAAATAAATTTTCTGTAACTGCGACTAATGAAAGCATATTGAACTTAGTTCTTCAATTAACTATAACAAAGAGCTGATAAGAATGGATGTACGCCATGCATTATTTCAATTTACACCAACACCCCAACAGCGATTTAGGCAGATCTTGATAAACCCAATCATGCGGATCCACGACAAAAAGCAATTTAAATCTCGTTCAAACAAAATAACTTCGAACAATAACCGCAGAGGAAATTAATGTGCGAGTCCCCGGTATTATTCATAAGAATAATTAGTATTTCGATGAGTTTGTATAAAAGAAGAATTTGAATTGTTAATGTTAACAAAAAAAAAAGGTGTCCATTCGACAGCTATGGAGGTTTCATTTCGAATTCCCAAATTCAATTTCACCGAGTTATTGTCCGTTGTTACCAAGAATTGCTTCGTATTATAAAAAATATCAAGGGTTCTTCAAAATTAATTTACTTTGGAGTTTCTTTAATACTTAACCAAATATTGTTATTCTAAGCTAAGACAGATCGGAGGATATCAAAGTGGAGATGTTTATAGCCCCCGGGAACCACTTAACGTCAGAAAGGTCGTGGGCTCATCTCCCTACCTATAGCGTTTTAAAATGTATAGTTTCAACTCCAGTGTTTTGTCATAAAACCAGCTGAAGCATGTTTCAATTATCATCCTTTTAAACTATATGTATTTATGGTAAAAGATACATCCGTGATTTCTAATTTTCAAAGTGAACATTTTGAATTGTGATTTATAAATATCTATATGTCAATTTTTAGTGTAAATGTTCTTAATTAATTTACTTAAAATCTAAATAATCTGATTCTGCATTAAGATCTGAAGGACGAGACATCAAAACGAAACTGTTCGCTCCCCTATTCTTGTTTCCACATCTTTAGCGCAACGGTGTTATGACTTTCTAAATAGTTTCATGTACAATAAAACTAATAAGATGTTCAATTCATGCCCCACGATAAAGACCCAATGCAATTTTGATTTGAGAGCGTAATCGCTCAAACCTATATACCCACACACCCACACACCCACGCACTCACACAGACACACATAGTGCACTCACTTTAATAATAGCATCTAATGGTCTCTCAATACTAGCTCGTGACATCTGCTCACATGCTAACCTGACCTTAGCCTAAACCTAACCTAGGAAGGAGGGAGCCTGGATATCTGTAATAAAAGTCTGAATCTAATATAGACCTCAGCTGTCTCAAAGGCTAAAGGTATGGTAAATTTTAATGATGAATTGGAGTTGTACCATACCTTTTAGAGAGAAAAAAATATATTATTATTTCTTAAAACTATTTGATATCAATTTAGATCCGACATGAAATATCAGATGGTAAGTAACAAACACATAGTTCAAAGATGTATGATATAATTTTTATAAGTTTTTGTAAGCTGGTGAAAACTTTTAAAGTTTAGTTTTACTGATGGTAGGACCTCTAGTGAGTCCGCACAGGTTGGTACCACCACCCTGCCTATTTCTGCCATCAAGCAGTAATGCGTTTCGGTTTGAAGGGTGGGGCAGCCGTTGTAACTATATTGAGACCTTAGGACTCATATCTCAAAGTGGGTGGCAGCATTTACGTTGTAGATGTCTATGGGCTCCGGTAACCACTTAACACCAGGTGGGCTGTGAGCTCGTCCAACCATCTAAGCAATAAATTAAAAAAATCTAATCCTATGCAGTGAGCTTAAATAATGTGAATGGGAAATATATTTACGTAACTAACTAGTAATTTATCTGTATGAAATTTTTCAACAGGCTTGAAATTTCTTTTTTAACTGTCTGAATTGGAAAATAGTTGAGAAATAAGAATTTCTTATGCAAAATATCTAAGATTTTTATTTTTCAGGTATAATTTCTTATTGGTGGTGAATTATTAAGAATCTGACCTATTTAATTTTAGAATTATTATTATTTCATTTTGCTAAAGCAAATTTATTTATATTAATTCCTGCCATATTAATTTTTCTATGTTTATTTTAGTAGTGGCATTGTATTGAGGACGCATGCGCGTAACATTTTCCCAGTGAAATCGCCAGTGTGTACCGACAGCCTCTTGGAACCAGTCCTGGTTGTCATATCGTCCTAAAATATTACGAAAAGATATTTCATTTATTCATTTCTTTTTTTGAAATTCGAGGTTGCCGAAGTAAATTCTGAATAAAAGTTTCGTAAGTTCGAACTTTGAAGAATTTTTGTAGATGCTCTTAAGTTTGTAGATTTGTGTGCTTTATGTGCGTGAAAAAGTGTAACTTTTGTGTAGTTGTTTAAAATATGAAAGTTACTTTTTGTTTTACCGGTGAGTGAATAAGTTTATTTTTTTTAATTTTTTTTCCGCTTCTTAAATCTGAAGAAGTAAAACTGGTAGTGAAATAATTTTGAATAATATTAGTTTTTAACATGTTTGTTAAATGAAAGCGAAAATATATTGTAGTAAATATAATAATTACTATCTTAATAACACATAATATTTGCGATTTCGCGATATTATCGATTTCGAAATAATAATAATAATAATAATAATAATATTTATTCATTCAAGCCTCTTAAAATACAAACACGTACAAAAATACTTAACACTAGTATAATAATATACATGGCTTTTTTATGAGGTATACAATAACAATATTCCCTGACTTTTATGCTAGGAAAACCTGTGTTACAAAAGTCAGTGGTTCAGTGCTAGGTCACCAGGTAAAGAAAGTTAACCAGGAAGAACGATCTGTAAGAATATAGTACGTACGTGTGTGTGTGTGTGAGTGTATGTGTGTTAGTGTGTTTGTGTGTGTGTATGTGTGTCATATAATAAAGTATAAAAATATTATTATATATTATATTATATACTATTATATAAAATATTAATTTAAAATTAGCTACAATAAATCAACAGTATATCATACTATATATACACCATTATACATTTTTACAACACGACTTGTTCTGTTTCAAAATAGTCTAAGTTTAAGAGCCAAGACTTCAGATTATTTTTAACGTCATACCTATTTAAGCCATCTATCTGCTGAGATATATTTACTTTATTATAAATTCTGCTACCTGACGAATAAATCTGTCGTCTGGCAAATTCCGTCCTACAAGCAATAGTGTCAAAGGCCGGTTTTCGTTTACTTAGTTCTAACTTTCTTTTTAAAACAGGATTAATCATAGTTTCCCAATTTGAAATCAGCTCGGATCAAAAGTTTTACAATAAGTTGTACATTCTACACATATATATATGTGTTATCTTTTTTTGATGAAAAATGGTTGCTACCATTCACGGAAAAAGCTATTCCGTTTTCTATCGTAAATCATCAAATGCACCAGCCTACGTTTCTAAGCTACTAAATAATACTTTTGCATATATGTAGTACAAGGAAGCGCCTTTCATCTTTAGCCTCAAACTAAACCTCTACCCAAAAATATTAACTATTAACATTAAGGTAAAAGTCTATTAAAGTGGGGTCGACTAACTTCTAATCTACCAAGAAAAAATACCTTTGAATTTCTTTCAAACAAAGTGAAATAATGCGACAGGAATGACGAAGTATTTACGTGTCGAAATTTATTCTTTGGCATAATTTTATTATAACAGTATTTACATAGATTACATTGTGCGACTTAAGATATTTGTAAAATAAATAAATAAAAAGGAGCAGATTTTATTTGAAAACCTCGAAGATTTCCCGATCCTGCGGACAGAATGGAAAGCAGTCGACGTCGCCCAAAACACGTCATCTCGGATCCTCCCGATCCACTAACGGTGCTTTTAGGTACTTCAAGCACCGGTCACCGTTCTCGTCGAACCCGTCGCTTGCGACGAAGGGCTCGACGAGTAAATTAACTCTCAGACACAGCCCACTGAGTTTCTCGCCGGATCTTCTCAGTGGGTCGCGTTTCCGATCCGGTGGTAGATTCTGCGAAGCACGGCTCTTGCTAGGGTTCGTGTTAGCAACATCGTCAGGTTTGAGCCCCGTGAGCTCACCTACTAAAGTTAGGGTTACGCTGACATAGCCGCTAGGGCTATCAGATGAGGTAGGAAAAAAAAAAAAAAAAAAAATCGAAGATTTTAAAATAATTCTGAAAATAAAATCGTCACAGAACCACGTTGAGACTACCCTCGGATTAATTAAAAATGTACGAAAAACAGTATACCTTTTCCAACTTTTAAGTAGCAAGCATTCATAAGCGGATACAAATTGATGCTTATTTTATTTAGGGACTGGCTTTGACTCATCTAAAATGAACGGCTTAACCCAATTCAAAGGGTTACTTTTGCGAAAAATTCACCTATCTATCTATCTGTATATATAAAAATGAATTGCTGTTCGTTAGTCTCGCTAAAACTCGAGAACGGCTGGACCGATTTGGCTAATTTTGGTCTTGAATTATTTGTGGAAGTCCAGAGAAGGTTTAAAAGGTTAGATATTTATGAAAATGATCGGAATTAAATAAAGTTTAGGTCTTTTGTTTATCGATTGAGGCACTACGAAATCTGCCGGGTCAGCTAGTTTTAAATATAATTGTAAATCTTTTGCAGGGACATCTATGGTCTAATACAAGCTTTCTGAGCTGAGAGCATTAATGGCTTTTATGGCTTGGCTGGTTCAGCTTTTATTTAGTAGACCGTATATGCGATCCTGGATATTTCGAGCGATACTATTACCCTTCCCTTTTTGTGGATAAACAAGCTAACAGCTCACCTCAAATTCTCAGTTATATTGCATAGTGGCTGTCCCACTGCTTAGTGATGTCCCAACGCATCACTATTTCGCTCCCTAAATATCTTGTCAAACTCAGGATACTGATGATAAGGAGTTTTGCAAAGTCGCAGGGATAGCTACAGCTATGCAGCGTATTTCTGCCGATAACATACTTTCATTTGCAATTTGAAGGGAAGCAGAGCATTTGTACCAACGCATTTGAGACCCCAAACTGTGACAGAACGTAATTTCGGAAGGTGTACAACAGGACTCACGTTTTGGTGTCTACTAGTAAGCTATTTTTCTTTTTATTGCCGTTAGGCAGACGAGCAGTTACCGTCGCTCATGGACGTCAGCAATGCCAGGGGCAGAGCCAAGCCGCTGCCTGTAAACTGTAAAATGAAAACTGTAAAATATCCGTAATCGAATAAACGTAAGCTTAAACAGTAAAGCTTAGGAGCACAAAATTGAGACACAAATTCGATTTCTCGCAAAACATCATGTTTTCTCTCTATAAGTTTTTTTTATTGCTTAGGTGCGTGAACGAGCTCAGCGCCCACCTGGTGTTAAATGTTTACTGGAGCCCATAGACATGTATAACGTAAATGCGGCACCCACCTTGAGATATAAGTTCTAAGGTCTCAAGTATAGTTACAACGGCTGCCCCACCCTTCAAACCGAAACGCATTACTACTTCACGGCAGAAATAGGGAGGGTGGCGGTATCTGCCCGTGTGGACTGAGAGTTTAGCTTTACCAAAAAATTAACATACGCCGTAAAATCCTTTGGGGATAAAACACGTACAAAAAATTCTAACGTTTCCTGCTAGTTGTTAGTACTATTTTCCTGGAGTAATTAGCGTTTCTGTATTACACGAAATTTGTTGTGGCAGGTGCAAATTTTACATTGGAATGGACTTGAGTGAAGGCAGTCATTTATTTTATTTAATTAAAGTGCCCTTTGTCGACCTCATCTCGGTTGGCAATCGATCAAAAAGATTTCACTCTAATCCGAAGCTCTCTACAATTGAACGGAAAACGAAATTTAGAGGGGCTTAAAAAGTAGTTTATGTAAAGTGTGAGATTTTCTCGGACTTGATTATGTTTTAAACCGTGCTTTTCTTAATTCCATTGAAAGAAAGTGAAATTAATTATCGGTAACTTTGAGTCATTTCATCTTATGTCTACCTAGATTCGCTAGTGACTGACAGTGGTGGTTGGGAAGACGATATTAAGCGGCCCATAATCATAACGCAATCAGCCATAGATAAACTCGCTAAAATATGGAAAGACCGGAATATCACCAAGACTACCAAGTCCGACTGATAAGGGCACTAGTGTTCCCCATCCTTTTACGTGGGGATGAGACCTGGACTGTCAAACAAAGAGAAATAAGAAGGATCAATGCATTAGAAATGTGGTGCTGGGAAAAGATGCTCCGTATATCCGTAACGCCTCGATCCTAAAAGAATTTAATATCTCTCAAACGTTGTCGTCAACAGTGCAATCCAGGATTCTTCGATAAATATATTTGGACACGTATCTCAACGGCTAGCAGAGTCTATCGAGAAACTTGTTGTTCAAGGTAGGGTCAATGGTAAAAGACCTCGTGGACGAAGCCCTATGCGCTGGACTGATCAGGTGAAAGACCTTACTAAACCCCACTTAACGAATGCGTGCGCCAAGCCTCAGTTCGCAAACTATGGAAAACATCTGTCAAGGCTTTAATATACAAAAATTCCACATGGCCACGACTGCTCTGCCAAGAGTAACCGACTATGATGATGAACTTTGAAAAGTTACATTAAGTGCGTGCTTGGTATAAATTCGTGCGTATAAATGACTCGCATTGAAACATGAACAAAATTTCATGTAATTTCTATTAATTTTTATTCTCACTACGATCCTGTTGTTATATTTTGTGTAGATTTCTAATGTTTTGAATATCGGAGATTAATATGATTACCATATGAATTTACCGAGACCAACTTTCGGGAAAGATTTACCATTAGATAGATGTATCATTTCAATAAACTACCTATCTACCAAACTTCTTTATTAGTTTAGATCGGTAGATAAGCGCATATCTTTCACGGTTACCGATCATTCTACACACATATATTTCTTACCTTAAGGCCAGAATACGTAAGGATTTTATGTGGGATATTCCGTATTCAAATGAAATTTAAGAAGTACCAATTTTAGATTAAACTCACGCAATAATCGTTTTGTTGTTGGTGCCTGAACTTATCGAGTCCAAAAGAGATTGAGAAGGGAAAATGCGAATTTAATAAGTCTGCAAAATATTGTTCTAACTTGAATAGTTTTTAATGATAATTAAAAGTTCGTTCCACAAAACTAATTAGTTCGTATGTTTCAAAGGAGCTTGGAAGTAGGACATGGGCATCAATTATTACCACGTCAATGCCGTGTCGACACAATGTAATATTTACGTTGAAGGAAATACAGTATACCTTCTGGCGGGAGGTCAAGTGCTCTTGACAACTACCAATGAAATCAACAAATAACGTTTCGCAAAATTTATTTACGAATTTAAATAAGTTTTCCAAAAAATTACCATAATATCTGCTAAATATAAAAAG